ATGGCTCTTCAGACATAAACTTGGCCCATCAGGTGAGTTATCCAGGTACAAGACCCTCTATGGGCTCAAGCAGGCACCACGGTCGTGGTATCACAGATTTTCCAGTTTTATTCAGACTATTGGGTTTCGCGGGTGCAAGTCGGATACATCTCTGTTTGTCTTCTCTCACACCATGGGCACCGCTTACCTACTACTGTACGTTGATGATATTGTACTCACATCATCCTCCACTGCACTTCTCCAGCATCTCATCCAGCGGCTAAAGGCCGAATTTGCTATGATAGACATGAGAGATCTACACTTTTTCCTCGGCATTAACGTACACAGGACGACCAGTGGCCTACTTCTCCACCAGACACAGTTCACTCATGATATACTCGAGCGGGCCGGGATGGTCTCTTGTCGCCCTATCTCCACCCCAGTGGACACAAAGGCAAAGCTCTCCTCCTCGTCAGGCACTCTGCTCCCTGATCCTACTCTTTATCGATCCGTTGTTGGAGCATTACAGTACCTCACATTTACTCGTCCTGACATCACTTATGCCGTCCAGCAGCTTTCCCTACACCTTCATGCACCCCGTGATGCTCATCTCACAGCCATGAAGCGTGTCCCACGATATCTCAGTGGCACCCCCACCCATGGCATTCACCTGGCGCGCTCCTCCACCGACTCACTGTAGGCTTACTCCGATGCTGACTCGGCCGGTTGCCCAAACACCCAACACTCCACCTCTGGATACCGTGTCTTTCTCGGTGATAACCTAGTCTAATGGTCCTCTAAGCGTCAGGTTACCACTTCTCGTTCGAGTGCAGAAGCTGAGTATCGCGCTGTAGCCAATGTCGTTGCAGAGACGAGCTGGATCCGGAATCTACTACTTGAGCTACAGCAACCCCTTCGCTGTGCCAGCCTTGTCTTCTGCGACAACGTCAGTGCTGTGTATCTATCGACAAATCCAGTACAGCACCAGCGCACCAAACACGTGGAAGTTGATATTCACTTTGTCTGTGACAAAGTAGCACTCGGTCATGTCCGCGTCCTCCACGTTCCCTCGTCTTCGCAGTATGCTGATATCTTCACTAAGGGACTGCCATCTTTACTATTTCTGGACTTCAAACAAAACTTGGGAATCAGACCTCCCCCACATCCGACGTAGCCAGGAGCATGTTAAATATATTGTATATATTGTTTTATTATCTTACCTTATTTGTATAGATCTCCTTACTTGTGTCTCTCCTACCTTGTTTAGGATTGAGACTCCTCTTATATATATACATGTAACCACAACCTATTCAATCAATGAAAATCATTATTCTTCAAGAAGCAAGAGTAACTTGTACATAGTTTCATTTGCATCGTTGTTTTTTCGATATATTTTTTCTCTATTTGGAAAAAGAAATAGCGGGTTTGTTCTTTGTGCCTATAAGAGAAAAAAATTTAACATATATAACTTTTTCCTTGGGTGCCCCTTTCAAGAAATTGAGCATTGCTGTAGTGCCACTACCAGTGTTGTCTTCATGAATGAGTGAGAAAGATTCTCAAACAGTTTTTTTAAACCAAAGATTGTATTAAATTAATAAATACAGTTTTTTTGCAAGAGTTGTCGTTGGTTGTCAAAACAGTTGCAGATTAAAATTTTATTTTCTCTCTCCTCTCAATAACTTTTGTTTGTTTATGCGATTTCATTAAGTATTTGATGAAATAAAACATTCTTGTAACCTCTTATTTTATAGAACTTTTGACGTAGTTTTTTAATATGTAATTTTTATTTCTTATCCATATACTAATTTGTAAATAAAATAATTTTTAAAAAAAAGATATTTCTCTCCGTAAACTGCAATTTGTAATCAAATTAGGGTCGGAGGGAGTATTTAGTTATAATGTAAATTTAGTAAAATTAGGTTTATTTTAAAATATAGTTTTAAAATATCAATTTTTATAATATTTAATTATTTTAAACTATATTTAATTCGTGGTCAAAGAGCACTGTAGTTTTACCAAAACAGTCAAACTTTGTCAATTTTTTATGGACGAATAGAGCATTACTCTATGTGACGAAAGCTAACAAGACTAGTATTTTCTCAAATGTTCTAAAAAACAAGATGTTAAAAGACTTATTTTTTCAAATGATGGACAATGAAAATGAGTAAAAAACGTAGTTAAAGTTTGACACCGTGAATAATAAACATGCAACTTAAATTGAGACAAAAATAGAATAAGGATTAACAAATTTACCATAAGATTTGAGCAGAAATAATAATCAAAACTAATTTATAAGGTGAAACATTAAAGAGTTAGAGATGTGTAACTTAATTTTTCAGAAGCTAATTTTCATTGAGCGAAAGAAGTAAGGGACATAGTTGAAAAGTCCTATCGGCGAATGTAGGGCTAGACATGGGCCGGTTCTAGTCTAGTTCCGGAACCGGTAGTTCCAGCACCGCCGCATTGTGGAGCTGTAACCGTCACCGGCGTAGCCGGTTCCAGAACCAGCGGTTCCAGGTCCAGGTTGGTTCTCGGTTATATTTTAAAATCTAATATATGAAAATATGATAGAATTTAGAATGAGATACAAATAAGTGGGTTGGGAAATAAGACACTTGGGCTGAAACATATTAAAAGATTGAATCCAATCGGTTAGTTAGTTCAACTCAAAAGCTTATATACCAATTATTTTGCTCTTGAACTTCCGATGTGGGATGACACTCTAACACTCCCCCTCAAGTGGACAACCGGGCCATTTTGAATCTAACCGGTTGACCACTTGCAAATAAACTCCCATTCCCTTGAATATTTATTTTTGAGCAACAACACCTAAAGGACCATGAGCCGCTGGGTATGGATTTCTAGATGAGCAATCGTGTTAAAGGGGCCATAGGCCATTGGGTACATACTCCATATAGACAACTGGGCTAAAGACAAATGGGCCACTAGGAATGAACGTCTAGACGGACACCTTGAAACAAAGAGGTGGGCCAAAACCTACTCTGATGCCATGATAGAATTTAGAATGAGATACAAACAAGTGGATTGAGTAATAAGACACTTGGGCTGAACTATATTAAAAGATTGAATCCAATCGATTAGTTAATTCAACTCAAGAGCTTATATAACGATTATTTTGCTCTTGAACTTCCGATGTGAGATGACACTCTAACATAATATAATATTATATGTAATGTAAACAAAATTTATATCTTTTTATATATTCTAAGAATGTAGTTGTTATTTAAATAATGAAAGTTGAATACTACAACTACATTTAATATCCTGACGGTTTAAAAAAAATTACGAGGTAAAGAATCACAAAGAAACTTTCGAAAGAGCTAATAAATCGCACACCTAAAAAAACTCATTACAATTTTAAAAAAATACAAATTTATTCCTCAAAACTACCACTTCCCTCCGCAGTTGCATCCATGTAATTTTGTGTATCAATGTGGTAGGCTTGTAGCCAGCCTCTTGTACTCGATGTCTTGCCAAGAGTCAATCTTGATTACAAACAAGTGCCTCAAGCGATTCAGTAGTCGGTTAGAATGTTGCCGCTATAATTGAACTCTTTTTGCACATCTACAGAAAACCGGAATAGATAACACTTATCTGGCTAGCATTCCGAGTGACGGGAACATGTGCTTATTCCGTGTCTACCATTCAATGAAATCGAACTCGCTATCGTAGTCTTCATTGTTGTCGCATGGAACGCCTTGGTACATCGCAAGTTCGTTGTGCAAACTTACACTTGTGCCACCTGTACTCATCGATGTAGAGCTACGCTTATCTTTTTTCGCCAAGAGGCAACCGACTATCCCTTTCAAACCCTTTTTTACCTCTTCGGGACAGGATGAGCTACTATTTCTTCTGGTGGGGTACCATATAAAACTTGAAATTCTTTAAATAAAGACTAAAAAAATCAATAGCATTATCTCTTTCTTTTGTCCATTCTATTAATTGGTCATAAAGATAACAATTTTCATTAAAAAAAAAAGTAACTACGGAGTATAATAATACTCAATGAGAATTTTAAAATTCTCAATCTTAAAACGTGGATCACAAATTATACCAATTTTATAAATATTAGGAATATATAAGTAATAAACACACCGCCTATCCCTCATACAATACACATTAGGGCACACATATCTTTGTCGTAGGTTTATAAACATGCGAGAGAGTAAGAGTGACATTATTAAAAACCTCTAACACGTTGTTCACTTTTTCAACAAGAATAAATTCATTCAAATCAATAATATGATTAAGTTAATACCTGAGAGTTAAAGCAAGTTCTTCTTTATATCGCAAGATCTGTGCAATCAACTTATATATATATATATTATTCCATCTAATCGTAATGTCCTTAGCAAATGTTATTAGTTTTTTATTCCTAGATTTACCGTAAGAGTTCCATGCATGAGAATTATTACGAGTACTCCAAATTAATTTTAAGATTCCCCCATGCCTTGTAATCCCTGTTGAACATATAAATTTAAAACATGACAAGCACATCTTTGGTGTAGAAATCTACCCATGACTCTGTTAGGGGGACAAAGTTCTTTAAGTTTAGGAATGACAACAGTATTATTAGTAGCATTATCAAAACCAAATGCAAACACTTTATTAATTAATTATATTCTTTCAAAATTTGCTTAAGCAAAAAAATAATATTATCACCCGTGTGAGATTCATTGAAATCACAAAATGCAAGAACACGTTTGTGCATTACCCAATCACTATTTATCCAATGACAAGTAACACTCATATAACGCCCTTACCTTTGTTTGCAAAATGAGAAATTTAAGTTTGTACTTGTCCCTTCCTCGCCATCATTTTAGCGTACTCCACGGGGTGCCTCACACTGAGGTGTTTGGCCGGCGAACCATAACCCTCAAAAATTCTTATTTTTATGATTGCCCCACAATGTCTACAATTTTCTTAACTTCGTCGTTTTTTTGTTTCTTTAAAAAAATGATGTACAAATAAATTAAACTTAAGTTTTTTTTACCTTTGCCCGAACCATCAGAGGTCTCGGGCTCACCTGTCTCGCCATCTTCCCCATATATATATATATATATATATAGAGAGAGAGAGAGAGAGAGAGAGAGAGCAACCCCCCACCCTCCCAAACTCCCCTGCCGCAACGGCTTTGAAGTCGTTTCCTTGCTCTTGTTGTCTCCAATTTCGGCCAAGAAAAGAAAAAAAAATATACCGGAACCAGCGGTTCCGTTATCACCAAATTAATACCCAGAACCGGACACGTGTCCACCAGTTCCAAGTCCGGTTCTCATTCCCGCCCATTCGTCTCCGGCTCGGGCACAATTTCGGGAACCGGCGATTCCAGCGCCAATATCGGTTCTCCCCAGAAGCGTTTCCACCCCTAGGCGGGTGTGATTGGGTGGGAAACTATTAGAGGGGATATAGGACATTTTAGTCACAATAATTTGCCAAATAAGAAAATGAAAAGAAAACTTTTAGAATCGGCAAAAACCTCCACCATTTTATAAGGGAAATTAACTAATTTATTCTAAGATATGAGCAGAAATAATCATCAAAATTACTCCGTAGATTATAAGGTGAAACATCAAAAGTTTTCCAAAAGTTTTTATTTGCCAAAAGCTAAATTTCATTGAGCAAAAGATGAGAAATGCTGAGTAATTAAGAGTCGGAGAGTTGAGAAGTCCTTTGGGCTGGTGCCATTAGGGGTGTTCATCGGTCTAAGACCGGACCGGACCGAACCGGACCAGACCGAAGACCGAATGAGATCAAATGTAAGACCGAAGACCGGACCTAAATGTTATCGGTCTTGGACCGGACCGAACCAAAATTTTATGTACCGAATGGGTCCAGACCGATTGGACCGACCCTAACCCAAGGAACGGGAAAAAAACAATACTCCGTATATAAATCACTTTGCAAAAGAAGAAGAATATATAAAAAAACCAGACCATAGAAGTGCAGAAATATAAACAAATTAAACAAAATTCTAGGATCCTTTAAAAAGAAGAAGAATCCTTTTAAAAATTTGGAGGTTTATTAATAAGTAAATTGAAAATTACCTGCGTTGTGCCAGTGTTTGAGTCCAAAGAGAGAAAGAGAGACGATAGTGGACTGACAGACGATGGAGAAGGTGGGAATTCAAGGAATGACAAACGACGGAGAAGGAGACAACGATTTGCGCCTGAGATGGACATGACGATTTGCGCGATGAGTGAGATGCGGTGGTGAGGGAGACGATGTTTCAGTCTGTGAGGAGGGTAGATGGCATAGAAGGCGGCGCCGATTCGGTTTGCAATTTAGGCGGAGATGGCAGAGAGAGGGACGGAGTTAACGAGATAGAGAAGTGAGGGAGACGGCGATTTGTGGGCTTGTGGCTGTGAGGCGAAGAAAATAAGATAGGGTTACGGGTTTAGTGGCTTGCGCATTACAAATTAGATTACGGAGTAATAGGTTTATATCGGTCCCTCGGTCCAGACCAATTGGTATTCCATTTTGGACCGGACCGGACCGAAACCCGAAATCAGAAATAATCTGGACCGAAGACCGACCCGATATCATTCCGGTCCGGTTTTGGTCTGAACTTATCGGTCCGGTTCGGTCGGTTTTTTCGGTCCAGACCTAATCATGAACACTCCTAGGTGCGATTGGGTCGGGAGTTAATTAGAGGATTAAATAATACTTTTTATAAGGGATGACGATGAATTAGAAGATAAAGTGAAGAAGGATGAATTATTTTAAAGGTAGTTTAGATATTTTATTTTTAAAAGTTTATGATAACAACTAACAGGCAACTTATTTTGGGACGGAAAAAAAAGACAAACATGCAATCTATACTATATACAAAAGCAAAAGAATTGGGGAGAGAAATAAAAAAGAAAAAAGAAAAATAAAGATGGTGTTTTCCCACCCAGCATGTTGTCCTTTGGACTTCCCGAGCTCAAATATTACTCTTCCCTATATGCCACTTCATCTCTTTGGAAATCTAAAAAGACAACTAGGGAGTATTTTGATGACAATAAATACTTTTTTTAAAGAATGTGGTGGATCATTGTTTAAAATAATAAATGTGTTAATTGTAATTAATATCTCTTTCAAAAGGGTTATTCATTTCGTGGATCATTGTTTAAAATAATAAATGACCGTCTATATCTCCCTTCTAAAATTAACTCTCAATTTTCCTTTTGTAAAATTTTTTTTAAACTTTGACTAAATATTACGAAAAAATATATTGAGTTTTCATATAAATTTAGTATCAATTGATTTATTTTGAAATATAATTTTGAAATATTTTAATTTTATAAAATATATTTATATATAAATAGAATTATTAATGGTCAAAATATTGCATTTGAGATATTAATTATCAAAAATTAAATGAGAAGTTGATTTTAGGAGGGATAGATTATATACTTCCTCCGTTACCTTTTAAATCGTCTGTTTTGACTTTTGGGCATATTTAAGGAAAATTACAAATAGAGTTGATTTTTCGAAATTGTCAATACTTTTTAGAAGGGATGATGATGAATGAGAATATAATGTGGAGAAGATTGACTTATTTTAGAGGTAGTTTAGGTATTTTATTTTTAAAAGTTTACGAAAACAACTAACAGGCAACTTATTTTGGGACGGATAAAAAAGACAAACAGGCAATTTAAAATAGGACGGAGGTAGTAATATGGAGGTAGCTCCATTTTGTTTCATTTAGAAATATAATTTTCTGAAAAATCTACTACTACAACAAAGGAAAAGATTTTTGGAAAAATTTTCATGCCCAAAAAAATCTAATTTTTCTGCTCCGTTGATTTCAGTGGCTAGGAAATAGTGTGGTCTGATTCTTTCTTAGTCATTGGGATTGAAATTACAATGCATTTATAGTGTTTTTCTCCACACGACTATATGGACTTGAAAAGGCAGACTTGGGGAGATGAACCAATCTATCTAATACTCCCTCCGTCCCAAATTATTTGTCACATTTGTATTCCCGAGTTAAAATATCAAGTTTTTTTTAATTCATTTTATTTATATATTGGTATAGAAATAAAAAGTAAAATTTGCATATAAAAAAACTACATGAAAAATTCTTCGAAATAAGAGGTGTCAAGAATATTTTATTTTATCAAATAACCAATGAAAACGTCGAAATAAACAAAAGTTACCGCGACTATTGAAAAAGCATATGTTGTGAATATTTAAGGAGGGAGGGAGTATATATCAACATACCAATCTTACTAAATGAACCCTCTTTACTTCACATATCTTCCTCATCTATGGAGTAGGATGATGTTGGCGCTAGCCACATGAAAAGTAACATTGAAGGGGAAAAACTGAATAATTTGCCATTGTTTCCGAAAGATTTGCGAGTTGAAACTACAGAAAGGAATGGCTAAACAATTCTTTATGAAAAAAGATAGGGCAAAAAGATTTGTTATTTCAAGAGAAATACTCACAAAAAATAGCAACAACACAATTTGGAATTTTCATCACAATATTAATAGGGATCTTCAAAGCAAGAATATTTGGAGTTTATTTGGTTAATGTATTAGGTCTAAATGTTATTACTTCTTGATGAATTTGTTTTGGTTAATTTGATCATATACAAAGTGACAATGGTGCTTGGTATTTGGTGTAGTTGTACAAACTTATCTTTTGAAGGGAGATTGCCATATTTTTATTAACTCCATTGTTGTTATCTTTGGTTTCATAGAAAAAATGTATCGTTTCTAATCTATTTAGAGAACTAAGAGTGAGTAATAAATTTTTCAAGATGTGCATTAACATAAGAGTTCTTACTATGAAAGACTTTCTCTTTCATATACTTCACACTAATCAAAATTACTATATGTCATGATGATTTTACGTTTTAATTATATATTTGAATTTGGATAATTATATTATCAAGTTCTCAACTTTAAAATTTTTGGAAAAATTATTTTTCCGTGCAACGCACGGGTATGAATCTAGTTTAAATTAGAACAGAGAGAGTACATTTAACTCACAATAATTTTTATGAGAAGAATATTTTCAGACAGCCTAAAAAGAAGATTGAGAAAAAAAAATTCATAGGTAGATAGTCCAATAGAATGAATGATCACTAAAAAAACAAATAGAACGAATGATCACCAAAAAAAGAACTCTATTAAACTACACAGTTTACGTACACAACTAGCAAAGCATGTCTCAACAATGTTCACATTTTTAGCCCAAAATGTTCCTCAAGTGTGTGCTTTGAAGTTCTCCCAAATCCCATTTCCACTTGCTTCATATCCCTGAGTTTCAAGGCTTCGCGTTTCACCTGCTCAACCCTCTCATAGAACGCATTTAGCAGTGGTTCCAAGTCGGCGAACGTGGCAGAGTGGTGCAACAGCTGAGACCTCTCCTTGTCGATTTGTTCGTACAGGTTTATGACGCGGTTCCTCTGTGCAAGAAGCCTTTCCTCGGCAATGCTGTACTCCAACTCCTGTGACCTCCTCAATGACTGCAGAATTTGGTCAATCTCTATGCCTAGTTGAAGTGATTCGGCTCGGAGGTCGAACTTTGAAGAATCCATTCCTAGCAGTGAAGGACTGTTGTTTTCTTTTGGTTCTTCACGGTTGTTGGCCCACTCGGGTAACCCATTTCCATTATTAAGTGGAGCATCCTCTTGTCTCAACAAGGAAACTAGCACAAACCCAAGCATTAGAGTGAGAGTAATATTTCAAACATTGAAGCAATGTTTTTGGAGAAGTGTGTGTTTTAGGCTCTAGTGAAGAGTAAATTCTACATGAAAACATACTAAAAGTTCCACCCCCCCTATTTTTGTCTCATATCATATTTAGTCATTTTTGTCACATGTAATCGGGTTTGTTCACATAGAGCTGAATGGGTAATGGGTCAATGTTCGGGTCAGTTAGCATAGAGTTGGTTAGTGTGTCTTTCATATTTAATTAAATAAAAATAAAAAAACAGTTAGGCAGTTTTTAAAAGATAGGTCCTGGTAGTTTCTTAAAGTTGGGTTGGTTTGCAAACCTTGTGTTGGTTTCTAAAGGTTGTGATGGTTTGTTCTCTACTTATATACAGAAACACGAAGAATCCTGAATACTTTGCTTTGATCCGATCATGTCTAACAATTTGTGTGGCTGGCTTTCATTTTTTACTTTATCCTACCTTTTGACATCAATACCAACCACACAACCTTACTTAATTACTTTATCCACTTTTTTTAATGGGGGAGACGGAGTGTTAATCTATTTTATAATATCTAAAACCATTTCATGTTTTAGTTTATCTTGCTACGGAAATACTATCCACAAAATAACCATCCACATGCTTGTGACAATGTATTTTAATGTTTTAGAATGCAAAATTATGGGCACAACAATAAAAATTATGTTTTACCTCCTCCATTCACATTATTATTACAAGTTGTATTTGAAAAATTTAAAAAGGTAATACCATAGATAAAGCAACACCAAAGAGCTTTTGAAATAGAAAAAAGGAAAGGTAGAAATTACCGGTATCTTCAAATGCTTCCTTGTTCCACGCATCTCCAAAGTCAACTCCCGTCTTAAGCTGGGTGACAATATTAGATAAGCTTATAAATTGCACAACACAATCTAACACTGAATTAATTTCCACTCGGCTATACCTTTGCTGCTGCTGATTCAATATGTTGTAATAATTGCTTTGCAGTCACTCTCCGTGCGCCACGCAACATACAAATGGCAAGGCTCAACATCTTATCAATCTCATCCCGTGAATCAACGGTTTCACATGCCTGAACAAAATCCACATGGAAAACAAGATCCGTCTTCGAATCACAGCGCCGACAAAAATATTCTGCATCCAAACCGATGCTTCCTCCTACAGTTCCAGCCACATAAGCTCTAAGAGCACATTCTATGTGGGCTAAGTGTCCACAAATACAGCCATCTTGGACAGTTTTTTTACACCTAATGTAACTATAATCCCCAACGCCAGTATCAATAGTCTTACAGCAAAGAATACAGCAACAATCTCGGCAGAATCTGGGTTCGCTGCAGCAAATGTCACAAAACATGGCTTCCAAAGGAGGACCAGGTGATTCTGATAAACTGATGCACATTGTGTTACCAGCCTTGCAACCATCATGTTTTAACTGAGACTCAGACCCTGCAACCCAAGAAAATACAAACTCCTCATCATACATCTACAGTAGAACAAAAAGTGAGCAACTAAACAAGTACACAACTGAATTTGATGTATATAAGTAACATCCTCCTCACACTTCATACCAGTCAACCTCAAATCTGAAACTCATAATGAATTAATCGAGATAATGAATTATATAGGAATATAACAGAAATAAATGCGACTTAAATTACATATTTATGATAGGCATTAACTAAATGTTGGAAGTAGATATCATAGGAATGCTTTACGAATCAGGCAAATTATTACATAATAATCCTGCCCATTCTTGTGACATAGACGCTATTCTAGTTGTCAATTTATTACCTTTTGATAATGATAAAAGACAATACTGCCTCCACCCAAAAAATAAAGTGTCATTTTTAGTAAGGTACCAACTTATAATTTAGCAAGGCACAACGGCCATAAATCATTAATCCTACATAGCTAGTTGATCAAGCCTATGGAGTCTCTCTCACTCACTCTCTCTCTCTCCATCTCCCTCTCTCTCTCCCTCTGGATTTCTCTTCCAGCAAAGTTAATGCACTCTGTGGATGTTGGCCAACAACAACCAGAAGTCTTTGTTGAGAGCCATGTGGCCACAAGACATAGAGCATAGGGGAACAAAAACTCACATAGAAGATTAAAAAAACATGATGAGGCAAAGGGCAAATGAAGGATAGATCATAGTGGGAATAAAGAATGAACAAGAAGCTAGTCAAAGAAGATGGAGGTAAAATGCTCTAGAGTCTTTTCTGACACCTTTTAGACTCTGTTTGGATCTAGAGTTAGTTTGGAGAAACCACAGTTGCACAGAGAGCCAAACACCAACTAAGAATGTCTTCAAATTCTTATTGGAAATATAGCATGTTGCTTTGAATCCTTAATGTGAAGTGGACATAAACTATAGGCCGCACAGTTGAGTTTCTAATAAACAATAAAATTATTGAAATAAATCAAACATCTATATGATTTTAAAAAACTGCTTAGCTGAAAGGTAACCTTTTAACATATTCTGCTTTGAGAGAATCTTCCAGTGAAATGAAGCAAAGAATGCACTGACATTATTGTCAGGAAAAGCTGCCTGGACAAATTGTTTAACTGAAAGTTTACTAGCAAAACGTTTCCTCTGTACAGGTTTTCCAGCAAGTGTAAGATTGCTTGGTGGATACAGGTACCTATCCACAAAGTAGCCTGCTTGGTGTACTCTTTTCCCTGCCTTCCAGCCCCATTTATCACCAGGGTTAGGCCAATTTTCCGGAGCATAGGGCAAACCTTCACCTGATTCATTGGGAGATGCACGATACAGATCAAGTCCATTTTCCTTGTTTAGAGGCGCACTTCTGTTAGCACTTCTGTTACTGGCATCCGGTTTGTCAATATCCATACACTCAGTCATCGGTAACATGCAACAGAAATGTTCATCTGTATAAAAATACATTAAAATTTTGTTTTTACTTTTTAGGGAAAACTGATGCAGTCGTTACTACAAGCTATAATCAAAAGTTGGTTTGTCCATGCATATGGCATTTAGACTAGTAAGACACACAATAATAGACATTGTTGAATGTTGAAACAGAGAAATAGAGTATCCATACAGCATAAGTTTAGAAGTAAGTTTTCCCCCATGCAGAGTAACTTGACACGGCTATCTAATGCTGTTTGACACATATGCGTTCATCTGAGAGAATTAACCACACCATCTTGCTCAGAATTTGTAACAAAATTACACTAGACAATTCACCACAATACACTGACTAACGTGCCGCCAAGGTTCAAGTTGAATATGCTCGTCCATGCACCAAGAGTTCAAGTGCGACTTCAACTTTGAAATTGTTCCATTCAGATTCACGTGAAGTTCAAGTAGCATATGATGTAAATGCGGGGTGTTTTCAATTTAGAAAATATAAACTACTCCATATAAAGTATAAAAATATAGAAACATTAGTTTTAAAAATAGTATAGTTTCTCACTCCCATCATTTTTAAACCCATTGTATTTCCATATAAAGACTGCAATACTCTAAAAAACGAATTGAGTTGTGACATGAAAATTATATCAACAAAAGTCATAGGTATCACGATGCCAGGGCAAGGTGAGGCACGGCACCAATGTACCGCCATGACGCCTAGACGACCGCCTAGGCAAAAATAGGTTTGTTATTCAACAATGCATTTCTATGATGTGACAAGTCACAAATTGAAACAAAGTGCTCTAAGATTGACTTTTGCCTGGTTTTCACTTTTAGGTAGTGAGCGGTCATAAGATAATCAAGGAGATATCCATCCAAAATTTGTGCACTTCCACCATTCTTGAGGTAGCCTGGTCTACTCCCACATGATCCTCGATCATGGAGGCATCCAGCATATTACTTGTCATGTCCAAAACTTTAAATTTGGCAAACTTTTTTTAAACTTTAGGCGCTACCAACTCTCCTAAAATCAATTGGTTAAGAAAAAAAGCGTATACTTTAGTCTTATAGGGCATTAAGCACACACAAACTCCCACGATATTTGAATGTGACTTAGCCCACATAGACTCTACAACGAGATAATTGATGCACACATGACCAGCAATCTCCCCCTCAACAATTGCTCTCATGGGCAATCGTGCTTGTGACCTTGGTTATTGACCTCAGGCGCTACCAACTCTCTTAAAATCAACTGCCGTTACAAAAAGCACATGCCTTAACTTTATAGTGCATTCAACACACACAAGGGTGCTCACGATATTTGAGTGTGACTTGGCCCACATAGCCTCCACCATAGGACAATTCATGCACATATCACCAACAACTTTGACAAGTGCTCTGATGTTGAATGAGTCAACTTTGAAAGTAGATCAACATATGTATTTTCTACCCGGGGATCATGGAAAGTTTGAACTCTACAAATCCATGCAATAGGGCCATGCAATCTTTTGCTTCCATTGTGCTTATGAGTTATGACTTTGCCCACTTATTGTGCTTATGAGAGGCGGACAGACTGGCCTCTTTTAAAGCGAGAGGCAAGGGGTAAAAAATGTTCAAATTAATCTTTGTACTAAAAATTGAAACAATTTAGTCCTTGTTGTAACACCCCGGCCGTAAGTGTCCGCTCATAGGATCGTAGACTGGCCCCACAAACCAACACAAGTCTTTCCCGCACACTTTGTCCTCACTCGTGCGCGCAAGGAAAACTTCCCAGAGGATCACCCATCCTAGAATTGCTCCAGGTCAAGCACGCTTAACTTTGGAGTTTCTAGGTGATGAGCTCTCGAAAAGAAGATGCACCTTGCTGGTATGAATAGTACTATCAATCCTTTTGAGCTCTTCTCATTCCCATCTTGATACGGGATATTACACTTGTACTATTCCTTTTTGTTCATTTTGGTCTTTCTTTACTTTTTCCTTGACTACTAGGTCTATCTCTGAGCGATGACATGTAATTTTACTTTAGATGACATTGAAATACTATCCTTGGCGTGTGGTTCATACTATTTATCTGATGTACAATTTAGTCATCATACAAAAAGTAATTTTATCCTTGTGTGTTTTCATAAAATAAAATAAATAAACAAATTCATATTGCACTTGGTAAAAGAAAAGTTTAACCGACATGTTACGACAACATTTTCATGTCATCTACAGTAAAATTACAAGCCAACGTTAAGAGCTAGGAGTAGGTAAGCATAAAAGTAAACAGAATACAGAATGACCAGATTGAACAAAAAAAAGTGCATGGACTAAATTGCTTTGATTTTGAGTATATAGACTTGATTTTTTTTAGATATTACAGAGACCTCTACCATATTCTGTCTGTGAAAAGACATCTCAAAAGATTCAAAATCAAGATTATATTCATTAAGAATATGTGCAGATCCAACACTCACTTGTTCTACATGTTGAGTTGAATATAGTGGATCCCTAATATTAGAATGTGTACTCCTTCACCAGACTCAAGTTCTTGGTTGTTTTTTGAAATATCTGTGCATTGTAATTCCTAATTTAAGAGATTTAAGAAAAACAAGATATATATATATATATATATATATAAAATATATATATATATATATATAAGTTACATATTTTACATTTAAAATTTAACACAATAAAGATATAAATTAAATCAATTATATATCGAATAAAATGAGGAAATTCTTTAATTGATACTTTATAATATGGAATTGTCTATATTTAGTCCTCTATACTCAAATAACATGTGGTCTTTCTTTTCTTAGTACCTTCTACAAATAGTCTTTTTTGGTCTTGTGTCGTGTTAGTATTAATTTGATACGTAAAAGTATAATTTGACAATGATCATATATCTTTAGTGTCATACACAATTCCAGAGACCACTCTTGATGTGTCATTTGTGAATCGTAGTCCTTGTCTACTACGATCATAGTCTACAAATGTGCTTTTCTATCGGCATTGTAGTCCACACCCATAATTATTATTATTTTATTGTTTGTCTAATCGACATCAGAATACATCACGGAGTTGATGTCAAATTACACTTTTGGCCCTAAAATTAACACCAGAATGTTAAAAAAAGTATTTGTAAAAAAAGGTATTCAAAAAAAGGAACACAAACTAAATATTTGATAATAGATGACTAAATATAGAAAATTTCCTGTTATAAAAAAACAATTATGAAATTTACTCGAATAAAATTAACAATTAATTAAATTCATAACAATTAGGGAAGTAAGAATGCAAAACAAATAACACATTAAATCCTAATATCGAAAATTATTTATAAATTGTACTTACTTACCTTTGATTGGAGACTTGGAGAACTGGTCGTGCCGCGGTGGCCAGAGACCCCGAAGCTGCGGATTATCCCAAGTAGTGGATCCAGCGCGGCTCGCTAGAATTCTGCTACGACCGGCGAGCCTGCGATCGCGAGACTACCTGCCGACCGATGGCAGGCTGTAGGCGGTGACGCTTCAATCCCCCGAAGCTGTGTGGTTCAAAGCGAACGGCTCTATGCGAATGCGATTCGGATCTATAGCGTGACTGCAGGACTAGTGAGTGTGACCAGGCCTTTCTTTTACTGACCCTACCAACTTGCCTACACCCACTTCTTTACCACATATTTATCTCTACCTATTTTCCACCCAATCTCTAATTTTAATTTTCTTGCCTCTCTACCACGTGTTTATGTAGGGGGCATGGGTGGTAGCAAGGGTGGGGGATTTTTAGCATTTTCCTTCTTTTACTCCGTTGTAACCTGATCAAAGAGTGGTCGGACGAGACCCCACATTACGAAACTTTTTTACAAAGTAGGGCCCGACCCATATGGATATGGACCATGCTACACTTACACCAACAAATATACCGCATTTGTACACCACAGGTTTGCACAAACATTTCGATGGTTTACACCGACACAGGTGTTGATGCGTTAATAAAAATTCACACGGACACAAATGTTGGTGCGTTTAACAAAAATTAGTTTTACACCAACACAAAATGTTGGTGCAAAACTGCGGGGTACAAACTGGGGTACAAATCTTGGGGTACACATAGCATATTCCTATGGATATCGGCGGATTTTGGGCTACCCAAGTGAGAATCAACCACAATTTCTAAATGGGAACTTTATTTAAATAATACTAAAATATAATAGTGATTTTTTTAATATAATACTATTTGTTTTTATTTTTCGATGTAATACCACTATTCGATATTCGCTGGTCATTATTTGAGTAAATCTCCACCGTCATTGGATATTTTTCAACTGGAATTTGTTCTCGACATTAGAAATTATTCAAGTAATATTCAAGAAATATAAAAGTTTATGTACAACATTGAGAAAGGACATACTCCCTCCGTCTTATAATGATCTTCCCAGAGCACTATTCTAACTTCACGGGAATTTATATTTATTTGTGTTTTTTCATGGCCTATATGATAAAATAAAATATTCTTGTCACCACTTGTTTTATTGAACTTTTGGTGTAGTTTTTAAATATGTATGTTTTATTTTTTATTTCTATACCAATATTTAAATAAAATAGATTGAAAAAACTTGAGATTTTTCTTCGTTTTGCGAACCAGGAAGATCATTATAGGACGGAGGGAGTATATTTTAATACTATTTAGTGCAAATTTTAGTATCTAAATAATTTAAAATAATTTTTTAAATAAAATAGTGCATTAATATACTCCCTATGTCCAAGATTAAAGTTCTACTTTGACTTAGCACGGAGTTTAATAAAAATTAAAATTTACTTTGACTTTCCTAAAATACCCCTCCATCCCTCATCCATTCTCTTCTTTTCTTGTCCACCCATTTTACTGTGCAATAAGATCGGCCTATCTGGGCAATCGGATACCCCTCAAGCAGGACCTCCTCGGTGCTCCGCCACTATCTCTGATGGCCGCCTTGATGGTCTACCATGTCAACTCCGATCACCACCTCATTGATAGCCATCACCTTTTCACGCTGCTTTTATTTCAGAAAAAGACGAAGAAGGAAGAAACTTGGGGCTCCTTCCTTCCAATCCAACACGCCAACATCAATTGGCGCATGTACTCCGCCGCCACCATAAATTTCTTTATCGAAGCTGACCTCCTTCACATGTCTGAATCGAAATTCTCAGATCTGACGAAGATGGACTAGAAAGAAGAAAAGAAATAAGAGGAGTAGAAGATGATTTGGGTGTGGGATCATGGGAAGAAGAAGAAGCGCAGGGAAGGAGAAGAAAGTAGACAAAAGAAGATGAAAGGAGATGAAACAAGGAAAAGAAGAAGAAAGAAGAAGATGAAAAGAAAACAGAGAAGAAGAAGAGAGAAAAGAGAAGGAAGAAAAAGCATAGCAGGGAAGGATGGGAAAGGGCGAAGGAAAAAGAAAAAGAAAAGATAGGGAGTGGTTAAGGAGGGTAATTTAGACTTTTTGGTATAAAAAACTTTCCAAAAATAAAAATGGGAATATTATTTTTAGATGGACGAAAAAGGAAAGTGGATGTCGGAAGTTGACAACCCTGCGGTGGCGATTGGAAACCACATATGTTGTTACTGACCACAACAAGCTATCAGAAGTTGATAATTTGTTGAAGGAGAGAGAAACTCTACTACGATGACCTCGAGAGCATTTGATCGAGGCCCAATGGAGGATGGCATTGGATGCCAATCGCCACCGCAAGGTTGTCCACTTTGACATTGGTGCACTTGTCCTGTTGAAATTAAAACCTTATTACGAACAACATTTCGTGGCACAGATGAGTTGCAGAAACTAAAAAAGCAATATTATAGACCATTCCGGGTGTTGGAGCTTGTGGGTCCGGTTGCATGTCGTTTAAAATTGCCAAAAGGGTCTCAAATATATCTGGTCTTGCAGCCTTATTATGACAAGGTTTTTGAGATTGCCCTAATACCACTGTCGGACGAGTTCATACAGGGGCAACCCGTATCTACATCGGTACAAATACATGCAAGCCTCCAAATTCTATGGTGGGGGAAGCCCCTGCAACAGTATCCAGTGGAGTGGTTGGATGGAAGCATGGATGACGCGACATGGAAGCCTTGCGATGTGATACGCCAGTATTATCCCATTCTCCACCTTGCAGACCAGGTAGTTTCCCAAGCGGAGAAGAGTGATACGTCACAACTGGGCGGCGGGATGGAAGAGGTACGAGGGGTACAAAACGCGGAGGAGAAGGAGGCAAGCATCCAAAAAGTGCGTTGAGTCTTGAAAACTCTTGCGTGGCATGACGATTATATCTTTAAATAAAATATTATTATTATTATTATTATTATTATTATTCTTGTTTTTGTTGTTGTTGTTGTAATAGTTTTTTAGGAGAGCGGAATCATAACCTCCGTTGAGGGTTTTTTTACGGTTCTTTACCTCGTTGCTATTCTTCAACCGTCAAGGTAGAAAATGTAGTTAATTACGGTTAGGGTTTCTCTACGCCTATAAATAGAGATGTACCCATCAAATCTCATTATCAATAAACATAACAACAAACCCTACTTTCTTGTCACCTTCAACGCACGGCCTAACCCTGCGATTCTTCTCTCTTCTTCCCCTCAACTTATAGAGCTCAAAGACGCTTGAAGTCTTCCCTATCCTGGTGTGTTTATGATATCATTTTAATTTGACTCGGATCATTTCCTAAAAGCTTAGTATTTTTTTTTGTTTAAATTAAGTTAGTTAAGATGATCATGCATATAAATATGCCTTGTATTCTCATTTGTTAGTAGACTTGAATTGAACAAAAAATGTGTGTTTAGTAATCTTGTGTTAGATATTATTTTGATACTATGTGGGTCAAGAAATTCATCATGAGAATTTAAACTATGTGCAAGTTGTAAAACTACAACTTTGGTGTTGCCACAGCGGGTTTCGCGGAGGTGAAAAAGTTATAAATTAGTGAGTCTCTAAATCACTTTATCCCTACGCTTGTTCATACGGAAGAATTTTGGATAAACAAAAACCCACCTTTTGATGGGTCCAAGGGCATGATCTTACAACCCATAGCGGCGCTCTGATGGCAATGTGGTGTGATAGTCTAGCAATGTTCTGTGGGTAGTATGGTAGGGTGTAGTGTGGGAGTGGAAAGGGCAAACAGTATGCTGCTCAGCCTTAGCAAACACTTGGCTAGATCCCAGACAAGCCCACACATGGGGTCCCACTTGCCCCCAAAGTGGTTGCTCTTGACCACAAAGGTCATAGTCAGCAGAGGACCCACTCTTGGAGTCAACCCCAGGGGACTTGCAAGTAAATCTTTTCTAATTAATCTTTTTTATTTTATAAAAACTCAATCCTTTCATAGTGTTTATGTACTAAGATCCATAAAATGAGTGTGGACTTCAGGACCACATAAGAATTTGCCACTCCCGTAACCCCTCGGTAAACCCTCCCCCCATCTTGGTCCAACCCGAACCCACTCTCTACCACTTTTAATTGTACCCCCTAAATTTAGTTGATTTTGGAGTAAAAAATGGCTTTCTAAAGACCGAAATTGCTTTTTGCTCGGTTTGGGTGAAATATTACTCTACTCTCCTTTTTTAAGCGCTTTGCGTACCAAACATTTAACTAACTATATATAAAAATATACAATAAATTAAAATATAAAAATTATACCAAAATTATTAGTATCAAAAATACTTTTAATGTATTATTTTTAATAGTTTTTTGCTAATATATTTTAAAAGATATTGTTGGTCAACCATTAGGTTCAAAAAGTAAACCAAACACTTAAAAAGGAATGAAGGGAGTATCATATTAGAATTGAGCATTTGAGCTACATGCTCCCTTTTTTTTTAAATTTAAAAAACAAAAAAAATAAATTTCATTTCAAACAAGTATTAAATAATCCTTCAAATATTCAAATAATCGTTTTAAAAAAAGTATTCAAGTAAATAATCCTTCTCCGTATAATTTTACTTTCATATTCTATTTCTTGTATCTCTAAATGTGTCATTTTGAACTTCGATTCTTGTAATTTTAAATACTTAACATCTAGATATAAGATATCTAATAAAAGATCTGTCAATAATTATAATTCTTTTTAGTAGCTCTCATACACATCAATGTAGTATCTGTTCAATATTATAATCTTAAACTCTTAAGCGCAGTGGCTGGATGCGAAGAAGCTTGAGTTGGCTTCCTTGCCACTATGCCAACATGTTATTTATAACTCTTAATATTACAATAAAATCACATTATTACAGAGTTTACATTATAATTCAAGAAGAACGCAGATGGGGTTAAGGAGTTAAGCAGAAGTCAGTGCTTTGGTAAAGAAAGAACAGGTGCGCCTATTTGATCTTAAATTTACTAGAAAATCTTTTAGCTTGCAGAGAAAAAGTGAGTGTATACCAACGGGGAAGACAACACAGAACTTCAACGATTAGCGCGGCGCTTTCCGTGGGATAAAGTGGCCTTTCTTGGGCTTTCTCTGTTTCAATTTCACCTTAACATCAATGCCACTATCAATAATAGCTTGGACTACAATCTGCAGTTTCCCATCCAAACGTTCCCCTTTCCTCGGCGTATAAACCACATTGTGGATATCATCAGCCAAAGCTCTTTGAGCCAGCACTTCCCCTGCAGCGGCACAAGCAGCACGGTTCTTGGCCGATCTCAGGTCACATTTCATGTCCTTTGAAATGGAATGTGCCACGGCAACAACCTTGCTAGTTGCGCGATGGATAATGCTGGCTCGTACAGACCCTTTGGATAGAAAAATGTCCAAACAGAACGGCTCGTGGTAAGGTGCTGTGGCCTGATTGAAAGTTAGGGTCCTTTTCGTCTTGGCAACTGCAGGAGGCTCCAACTCTTGAAGATGGCAAACTGAATGGCTTTTCTTGCCAGATGATGATCCTGGAGACCTAGCGACTGCTGAGCTTAGTTCATACTTTTTGTTTTCTTTCCAATTTTTCTCACACTCAATGCTTTGCTCATTTCCCAAGGGTGAAGCACTACATACATTTGCCATCTCTCTTGCATTATTCTTGTCAGATGATACCGGGGACCGTGCGACTACCGGGCTCGGTTCATACACTTTATTTCCTTGCCATTTTTTCCCACACTCAATGCTTTTCTTCTCATTTCCCAAGGGTGAAGCATTACATGCATTTTCCATCTTTCTTGCATTATTCTTGCCAGATGATGATCCGGGAGACAAAGCGACTCCCAAGCTTAGTTCATAGTTTATATTTTCTTGCCATTTTTTCCCACACTCAATGCTTTGATCATGCCCCAACTCTTGAACATGGCAAACTGAATGATCTTTCTTGCCAAATGATCCCGGAGACCTTGCGACTACCGAGCTTAGTTCATACTTCTTATTTTCTTGCCCCCTTTTCACAAACCCGATGCTTTTCTCATTGCGGGAAGGAGAAGAACTACATGCATTTGCCATCTTTCTTGCATTACTCTTGTCAGATGATACCGGAGACCTTGCAACTACCAAGCTAGGTTCATACTTCTTACTTTCGTGCCCCCTTTTCACACACCCGATGCTTTTCTCATTGCGTGAGGGCAAAGCACTACATGAATTCGCCATCTTTCTCGCACTTGCTTTCTTATCACCTTTGTGTCTACTCTTCCCATGGAAGTCAAACTTATACTCTTCATATTCTTTGGAATCTTGATCCAGCTTATAAAACAGGTTTCCGCGGACCCTCATTTCTTCAATTTCGTCAAAACCGGGGTCCTCTCTATTCGGAGGGGCGTACTTCACCATCCTTTTTTCTTCATCCCCTCCCTCATCAATACAAAAAGCCCTCCCCTTTGACCCCCTCTCCACATTGTTCTTCCACACATCTGCTAATCCCGAGGACACCTTCCAAGAATCGCTATCCACAAGTTCGATTCTGCAGTCTTCCAGGCGCGGAAGCCCATCGGGAAGCAACGGCGAATTACCAAAAAGCCCACTACCGAAAGTAGCAAGAGAGTGTTTTCCATCCCTGTTTCTAGCACATGAAGATTGTGATGGTCCCAAAGCAGGAGTTCTGGAACAGAAAAAACGAGCTAAAGGAGTGAAATGAGAGCGAGCTAGAATTATGCAGGCGGTGATTCTTCTCATAGAAAGAAAAGGGTGACAATCAGCGAGCAAAAGGAGTACGTGCTGGGTTTGAAAGAAGATGGTGATGCACTGATGCTAATTGCAAAGAACAGTCTTTGACGTAATAAATCAAACATGTGGAGTGCGTCTAAACTCTAAAGTGAATACCTTCCCTGTCCCAGAATCTCACCTTGAAGTAGTAAAATGAATGCCGAATTAAGAAAGCACGAGTTCTTGAGTCGTTCGATCTACCAAGGAATGACATGATGATTCAGGAATTTAGATGAACCATTTAAAAGAAATGCTGCTAAGAGCTAAGACGACAAAGTCTAGAAACAAAACCGTGAAAAATTTTCAGAATTCAAATATGAGGTCTAGGCTTTGCTTGGGTTGGTCGTTGGCTGAGAACGGACTACTGAAGTAGGGTTGTAGGCACTCGGGCACCCAAGATAATTGAATTTCTTTTTGGATTAAATACTTTTTACTCTCTCACTCCCAACATTGATTACTATTGTTTTTTCTCCTCTCGATAACTTTTTTTATTTGCATAATTTTATTAACTATTTGATAAAATAAAATATTCTTGTCAAATTTTTTGGTGCGATGAAATTGGCGGGCGGGCGTGCGTGCGTTGGGGACGGGGCAAGCTAGGGATTTTACCAGGAGGGTTAGGGGGTAGGAACAATCAATTTTACGATTGGAGAATTGTAGGTACTCCAATTTAATTGGGGTAACAATGTTACGCCAGTTGAGTTGGTGTAGGATTACCCTCCTCTTCAAATAAATATGAAAAATATATAGTTACCTCGAGCTTAACTAATTGATCACAACAGTGCAATCAGATTTTAATTTGGAGAAAGTTGGACAAAAAAATATATCCCAACAACGATAAAATTTTCAAAATCAGATAAAGTCCAATATAATGANTAATTTATCTACAAATCATAGTGAGGAGGAAAGATATGCACAACTCTTCCACATCTCTCTTGTTAAAAAAGGAGCATTCATTCTCTTTCATCTCCAGACCATTTTCTTCTAGTTCTCTTCTATAGGCTATAGCATCACTAGAGTTCAGAGAATTGGCCGCAAGTGATTGCCACCTTCGAAGTCGCTGGAAAAAGCTGTGGTTGTTGCCGCGAGTTTCAAGGGAAATGTTTAAGAGAAGAAAAACTCTGTGCAAATGAGTTCACTTGTAAACAATATTACACCGTCTAAACTTCGCTATTATTATTTGGTTACCTCAAGAAAGTTAGAGCCTTATATCTTACAAATCCATAGTTATAAACAGTTCGCGATTTCTGCTGTGATGGGAAGTGACGAACTTCATGGATTTCGACGTTGTTTTCGCTCTAGTTTGTTCGTTAAGTTTCATCTCGTCGATTCGTTACACGAGACGATGTGAAGAATAACTCCTTAGATTGGCCGGTCTGATAACTAATATCCGGCCTGAACCCGTCGAAAAGTGATAGATCAATTATAACCGGTCAACAAATTAATTTGTGTTCAAGGTAGCGCAGAATGTTAGGGAAAATGACTGGTCACGTCTTCACCGAAAGTGACCGTCATATCTGCGGCATGGTCATTTACTTGCATGGCGGTGACGGAAGGCGACCTGAGGGATTAACTCCTCGGATTAACACGGCTAGATTTCAGGTGATTGATCGATGAACACAGCACAAGGCGATGGCGCGTATAGAGCCATCACGCTATCATACCCTGTCATCTTCGGGACTTAATGACGGAGCGAGAATCACGCTAAACCGCTAGACAACATAAATAAAGGCGAGATTGGCGCCCATTAGCGGTTAGGCTAGCGAGCAGCGGCTCAAGGACCTATTTTCTTATGTAGATAATGATTGAAGCTAGGTCTATGCCCGAGGAAGGGCTTGTTACCTTAATTGACCTCCTCCACCCTATATAAATATATTGTAAGAGGTGGATGAGGGACATTCAATCATTCATACACACATATGTACACTCTTGAGGCAGAGTAAGAAATATAATTTTGGGCACATGAATTCTTTTCTGCTCTAGGTCATTCTTGTGTTCTTGGTTTATCGCGTGTTTGGCTTACTTAATAGAGTCCGTTTTGAACTGGTCACACCCGGTCAAACTTACCCGGTTAAGTTTACACCATCACTTAGCATTTGTGAATTTATTTTTTTTTTTGATTTTTAAGACCATTATTTGGAAATACTACCTCCGTCGCAGAGTATTCGTCCGGTTTGATTTTTTCGAGTCAAACTAGATGAACTTTGAGCTTTATTTAAGTAAAAACTACCGTGTATTATAGTATAAAATGATTTTAAGATATTTAACTTGTTTGGACCTTTCAAAAATTTATTCTATTGTATTAATATGCAATACAAATTGGGAGTAATTGAAGATTAAAGTTTATCTAGTTTGACTCAAAAAAGTGAGACTAGATGAATACTCTGTTGGAACACAGGTTTACGCCTACGTCGTACTAAACTGTGTTCGGTTTTTATGACAGGTTTTGATAATGCCAAACCGCCGCGACACATCGAAGCTAAAGTGAGCAAAACTAAGGCGAAGGAACATGGCATGATGACTTGAGAACCAAGAACCCAGAATCAAGAACGAAGAAATAGAATTGTATTGAGTCAGTCTTAATGTGATCAAGACCGGCACAAAATTCCAAATCTTGGCTCTCTAGGCTCAATTCATAAAATCTCTTTTACATATTCAAAAATATTTTTCTTAAGTTTTAAACTTGGCTCAAAACACTTGGAGTTCGCCCAAGCCAAAAACCAAGCCATCCGGCGTTCGGCTTTCAGAAACCGGCGTTCGGCTTTCGGTTTTCGGCATTGGTTTTTGGCGTCCGAACCAACCAAATGGTTTTCAACTTTTTATGACTGGTTTTTACTTCTGGGCATATTTAAATAGTTCTCCAACCAAAACACCTCAAAAACCACCTTCCGTTTTTGGTCGTTTAGTGAAAACCATGCGAAACGGCGCGAACTCGGCTAGCCGTGGTTTTCAACTAAATAACGTGATTTTTAAGATGTTTTACTTGATTTCTTAGCAAAATGCAATAAACAAATGTTTTCTAAACTTGGTTTTTATTTTGGAGAACTTGCGTTTTTGACATCGGCTAACGGCGTGACTAAACCAACCACGGGTCTGGCTAAACCAGCCCAACAGCGATGTTGAGGTAATCAACAGCGCTGTCTGGCCTGGGTAGCTAAAAACATGGTTTGGCGTTAAGTCTTCCAACAGCGATGTTGGACACTAGACATTGCTGTTGAGCCAAGGTTGGATTTCGAGAAACTTCTGGAACAGCGATGTAGGCTTCCCTACAGCGCTGTCCAACCTAAGCCAAAAATATAGTGCATTGGCAGAAAGTTTTTGGACAGCGATGTTGACCCAGTGACAGCGCTGTCGGGCCAAAATTCCATCTTCAAAGGCAGACCTAAACAGCGATGTTCTAGTATAGGACATCGATGTAGAGACCTGACCGTTGGAAGGAATTTAAGGCTAAAACTTTCCTTGTTTGGAAGTCAACAGCCAAAACAGCGATGTAGGGATTATAGACATCGCTGTTGGCATGACCGTTGCTTCCCAGTTTTCAAACCGCAAGCCTAGAACAGCGATGTCCAGGCCTAGGACAGCGCTGTCTGGGTGATTTTCAACAGATCCAAATTTCATCAAATCCCACAAATTATGCCAATCACCCCTTAAATACTTTGGTCCGTTGGAGCCTATTTTTCTACTATAAAATGGGGTGTTTGGGTCTGTTTTACACATCACATTACTTCACAACTCCTACTCTTTCATTGCAAATCATTCTTTAATTATTCATAGCTTTTGAGAGCCATTTTTGTGAAGCTTGTGTTGTGTTCTTGAGCGTTCTTAGTTTACTCAATATTCACTCTAAAAAGAGAGTATTGTTCTTGAGTGTTTTTAGTGTTCTTAGACACTTGACAAGAGAAGGTATTTCTCTTGTTGTTCGAAGGAAGGGTTGTTTCCTTCGAAGGTTCGTTGAGGTTCGTGTGACTCGAATTCTCAAGTTGTACGGGTTTGTTAAGCACCGTTAAGCTAAACGAGATAGTAGTGTAGCTCGAGAGAGTCTCTCGGGAGGCTGGATTAGCCACAAGTTGTGGTTAACCAGGGTAAAATCGGTGTGCCTCTTTCTTTTCTCTTTACTTCTCGCTTATTCATTTTTATTCCTGCGATTTCTTGATCAAACGCTATTCACCCCCCTCTAGCGTTGGTCTATTAGTCTAACATACTCTAGAATGGAGGGACTATTTATCATATTTGGTAAGCTTGTGGATTTTGTAAGTATTTGATTGTAACTTTAGCATTATTCATTTTATTTTCTTTGTACACCGTATATTATTATTATTTGGGAATTTAGTATTTAATTTTTTAAAAGTCTTTCGGTCAAAATTATTTTTGCTATATCTTAAGTTTAATTTCATATTTAAAAGTTTAGTTTTTAAAAATTTTAAATCCCAATGTTTCATTTATTTTTAATACATATGTTTTGAATGTGTTTAAACTTATTGTATTTTTTGTGTTTTATTTTCGATCATGGAAACCTTCTATGACATCCTTATTTTATTTTCTTTAGGCAGCGTATATTATTATTAGAGAATTTGATTTTAAATTTTTTTTAAAGTCTTTCGGTCATAATTATATTTGCTAATATCTTCAGTTTCATGTCATCTTTAAAATTTTAAGTTTTTAAAAATCCTAAATCCCAACGTTTCATTTATTTTGATACATATGCTTTGAATATGTTAAAACTTATTGTATTTTTTTTGTGCCTTATTTTCTACCATAGAAAACTCTTGTGACATCCCTATATTGTTTTCTTTGTACACCGTATATTATTATTTGAGAGCTTACTATTTGATTTTTTTAAAGCGTTTCAGTGATAATTTTTTTTCCTAATACCTTTACTTTCATGTCATCTTTAAAATTTTAATTTTTGAAAAATCCTAAATCCCAGTGTTTCATTTGTTTTGATACACACGTTTTGAATGTGTTAACACTTATCATATTTTTTAGAACCTGTTCTTTAAGACTTAAAAAAAGAGCTGGATGTTGGAAGAAACTGGAAAAAACTGGAAGGAACTGGTAGAAATTGGAAGGAACTGGAAGAAACTGGAAAAAACTAGGAAAAATTGGAAAAAACTGGAAAAAATCGGAAGAAACTGAAATAAACTGGAATAAACTGGAAAAACTTCAAAAAATTGAAAAACCTAAAAAAACTTTAAGAAAAATTATTTTAAATTCTTGTTGTTATAAATTATTATTATTATTATTATTATTATTATTATTATTATTATTATTATTATTATTATTACAACTGCTATGTTCATAAATATAGTTTATAAATTATTATTTTCATCTCACTATTTTTACGATTTACACTCATTATTTTTTTTCTTTAACTTTTTAATATAAACAAGACAATTTTTGTATATTAATCTACATGATAAAACTGAAACACATCAATATGTTAAATTATATTTAAAAAAAATTATGGATAAAATAGTGACATAGAATGTTTTATTAATCTAACTTTATATGAGACCTCTCACCTTTCCCTTTATTACTTGTGCTCATTTTTCTAATTTTTATAAAAAAAATTGTAAGTCAAAATAGTTTAGAGAAAAGGCTAAAATAGGAGTAAAACATAAAAAATGTAAAAAAAGAAAGTTTTATGTCTTTTTCCAAAAATAAGACTTCAATGAAAATACAATGTCAATCATGAAAGAAAAAATAGGTTTGATTACATTATGTGACATGTCTGATATTTAAAACAAAATCTTGTAATATATAAAATATAATTACAAACATATATATTATTTATAATAAATACTGCATAAATAAATTGAGGTGCAACGTAACTACAAAAACTTTTTAAAATTTAATATTTTTATATTTATGCTAACTTTATATTATAATTATTTTTTTGCAAAAGTAGTTTTTGTATTTGAAAAATAAGAATAATTTTTTTGTATTTTAAAGGCATTCATTAAGATAATATGATGATGATGATGATCATAATAATAATAATAATAATAATAATAATAATAATAATTGTAATAATAATAATAATTTATAACAACAAGAATTTAAAATAATTTTTCTTAAAGTTTTTTTAGGTTTTCCAATTTTTTGAAGTTTTTCCAGTTTATTCCAGTTTCTTCCAATTTTTTCCAGTTTCTTTCAGTTTTTTCCAATTTTTTCCAGTTTTTTCTAGTTTCTTCCAGTTTTTAGAGTAATTGGTTGGAGAGTAGAAATAGTTTGAAGAAAATGAGAATTGCTAGTTGGAAAAACTGGAAGGAACACGAGGAAACTGGAAGGAACTAAAAGAAACTGGAAGGAACTAGAAGAACTGGAAGGAATTGAAAGAAACTAGAAGGAACTGGAAAAAACTGGAAGTTAAGAGTTTAAGTCCTAAAGAACAAGATCTTAATGTCTTATTTTCTACCATGGAAAAATCTTGTGACATCTCTATTTTATTTGCTTTGCACACCGTATATTATTTGAGAATTTACTATTTAATTTTTTTTGAAGTCTTTCGGTCAAAATTCTTTTCCTTAATACCTTAAGTTTTATGTCATCTTTAAAATTTTAATATTTTTTTTAAAAAATCCTAAAATCCCAATGTTTCGTTTGTTTTTGATGCATATGTTTTGAATATGTTACCACCTATTGTAATCCTTTCACTCTGTGTCTTAGGGGATGTATTCAATTCAGACTCAACAGGATTATTATTTGGATTTTAGAAGTCAATGGGTATTCAATTGAGATTTTAAAAAATCATTTAAAATTTAGAGGTATTCAATTAAGATTTTAAAAAATATTTCTAAATCTAATGATATTGAAAAATTGATAGATTTTCAAAGATTATTATAAATAATGGATTGTGATAGATTTTTAGGTTAAAGTATAAATAAAATAAAGAACTTGTTTGGAAATCCAATCAAGACCCAGGTGGAGTCCAAGAGCCGATCTATCTCCGCTCATCATCCTCCTGCTTCCGCCGATCTTCTGAAACTTCACTCCATAGTCAACCCAAGTTCTGTGTCAACGCAGGTTTTCTCTTCTCCAACTTCACTCCATCTTCTTCAAGCCTTCAAGGAAAAATCTTCTCTATCTCCCAATAAACTATAATGAATTTATTTATGATTATGTGATTTTTTATATGAATATGATTTTGTCTCTGTCAATTTTGTGTGTGTAAATGATTATGCTTTCAAAGAATCAAATAGTTTCTCAAAGAGGCGAGGAGAACGAAAGTCCATCCCTCTTATCTTTGATTCGGATTGTTCCAGCACTTCTTGTTATTCTTCTATGCATCAATTTGTCATATCCTTCTTGTTATTCGGACTGTTTGTTCAATGAAACAAACAGGCGTTGTTAATAAGATTTCGGCTAAATGGTATATACACCCTGCTTCATCTGATTCCGCAATCGATAATGGAGGCATCTCAACCAGGGCAGAGCGGCTCTGTTAAGAATCACCATCGCCAAACCAGATCCGAGGTACATGACCGCTTCCTTTTTCTTTTCTCCTTACCATTGTCAAAAAATCGTTATTCCTGCTAGCCAGTTTCGGGTCATTCATATATGATCCTGGCAGATGTATAGAGGGAGATGAACCAACAGGGCCTAGAGTCGTCCCCTCAATCAATTGTTTCATATATTTTCACTGTTGTTCGATTTATTAATGCTCCATATGTAGCTCAACCATTCTTATTTCCATCTGAGAGAGAATTATATTATAAATAAAATGCTGAAAAACCGGTTTTTATTGTCAATTCTCAAGTATCTTAGTGTACTTGAGAGGAAAAATACAGTGCTCTGCTTTACTTTTCATTTACTTTCAACCATCAGCGATTTCCTTGTTGGCGGGTTTATGTTTTTCCAAGGCGTCCGTAGCCACATTGTCTCTATACGTAAGTTATTACATGCCATTTATTCCTCATCATTTATCCCAGGAGCTGCTGAATGTGAATGTGAATAAGCCACAGGGTTGGTCTGCCAAAAAGATGAACCTATTGCTTGAGCCGAATGTGGATGCACAAGGTACACATCTCCAACATGCCTCATATCTATGTATAAACAGAGACAACTTAGTCAAATTTAGACAGGAACTGGGCACACAAATTCAAAAAAAGCTAAAAAGAGGGAACACAAGAAGGCTAGGGGATAGGTGGATAAAAGTTTTAGTTTCTTTTGTTGCTCAACGTTTGTGTGTAGTTAATTTTTTTTATCAGTAGCCCCTAGTAAACCCCCAACCCGGCCCCGACCCTAACACACCCCTACACCCAGTCCATTTGCACCACCATTGATTTTGTTGACTTTGTGGTCAATTTTTTGACACAAATAAAAAGTGGAGCAATTGGAGGAGGTACGGTGATGCGCTAGGGTCGGGGCCGGCTTGAGGGTTCATTGGCGCGGCATCTTGCCGCCTTACAAACTATGGTTTGATTATGAGATATGATATTTTGACACCATTTTTATATGACATTGTTCTTACTCTGNTTTGTGTGTAGTTAATTTTTTTTATCAGTAGCCCCTAGTAAACCCCCAACCCGGCCCCGACCCTAACACACCCCTACACCCAGTCCATTTGCACCACCATTGATTTTGTTGACTTTGTGGTCAATTTTTTGACACAAATAAAAAGTGGAGCAATTGGAGGAGGTACGGTGATGCGCTAGGGTCGGGGCCGGCTTGAGGGTTCATTGGCGCGGCATCTTGCCGCCTTACAAACTATGGTTTGATTATGAGATATGATATTTTGACACCATTTTTATATGACATTGTTCTTACTCTGCACTATTACTTTGATATAGAATGTATTCATACAACACACTTCGGATGATATAAACATACAAGCACATGCACCATCCTAAAAAAGTTCACAATAATTAGTGACTTTTTGTTTTGCTTCATTAATACTTCATATTTTTACACATTTTAGATGCGTCGGTTTTAGAAAGTCATTAGAAAAAGCTTGAGTTGGCTTCCAATTGTTTTGAAATATTAAGAGGAAGATCTTTGTGTTAGATTCTTGGTATATCTCAATCTTATGGTGGGTTTTATATGATCACATTGCACATGAAAGTTAATGGGTAAAAAATGTTAAACAAAAGTGTTGTCAAAATATCATATGTGTATAGACTAAGATTGAAAGGAGTTAGATGGTGGAGATTAAATTTAAATCATGCATCTATTGTGTTTCTTGTAAATTTTATACAATTGCTTGCTTCAAATGATGCTTTTTTTTTGCGTGTGAGACACTAATTTAGTTTATTGGTTGGTGATTGTAAAAATGGTCTAGACTGGACTTTTTTTAGGTTGTTGATTTCTACAAACGATGATGTTGCCACTAATCGTTACAAGTGTAAGATTCGTCACATGAAACCTTATTACGGGAAGAAAAATGTTGAAGTGGATTATCATTCTGTAGCTACTGGAGTCGGAGTTGTAAGTAAACCCTGAATTATATACGGCATCATTCTTCGACACTTCTATGTTTCATGATTGTTTATGCTTGGGTACTGGATTGGGAGGAAGGTTGGGTAGGGTTAGAGACTTAATTTCTACAGATTGTCTCTCTGATTATGCCACAAGATTTTATCCTATGTAAACCACTATGTTCAGTGTGCATTGAGTGGTATTGTCCCTTGAATGCATAACTTGCTTGGCGGCCTTGAAATCATGTTAGGCTGTTAAGCCCTCAGTTCTTAGCCAGACTTTGATTGTAATATTTTTGTTTAGTTTTATTTAGGATACCAGTGTGCTTGTAGAATGTGAGATTTGTGTTATAAAAAATAAATAAAATAAGTTGGGAATTGTTTTTTCCACTATAGTGTTTTTTAACCTTTGGTTTACACTATCTATTGGAGTATCAAAAAATGAATAGTATATTGCATATAGTGTAAATTTTACCATATACACTATGGGTTGGAGATGCTCTCAATGGAACAATTTACAATCGTGAGGCCCTCCTAAAAAATTAATGTCAAACTACATGAAGGGAGGTGAACAACACTAGAAGTGCAAGGGAAGTGGAAGAAACTACCAATCAAAAGGGCTTCCAGAAAGGTTTTGGGTTTTGGTCCAGTCCTGTCAAAAACTGAAATATTTTTGGTTCAGACAGAATGATATAAACATAAAGGAAAATGCTAGGGGTACACCAAAGGTGTACCCTAAATATCCCCCACCCCCTCCTTGTCCACAAAAATGGGCAAGAAAATTCAAAAAAATAAGTAAATAAAAATCAAATAAAAATGAGTGGTTATGGATAGGGTGAGGGACATTTGGGGTACACCTTTGGTGTACCCCTAGCATCTCCCAAACATAAATACTATGTGATGTTTTAGCCCAGTCCATGATGGGCTACCTAATCTCGGATCTTATTTTTCTAGTGGTGCCGAGATGTTGGTCTACAGTGCCCTTAATCTCCATCGCCAACTTCAAATTGAAGGTCCTCCTTGATCGACCAATCTAGCTATAGATTTGAGTTTTCCATGTGATTATGATCATATTGAATCTACAGATCTATGCCATTGTTGACCATGGATTGAAGCTTCCATCAACTATGGTGGACCCCTGATTTATGCTCCCTCGTCATCGTCTTGCTACTCTGACATATAAGCAACGCCTTTCGAAGCTTGTGGGTTGGTTTTGTGAGCTTTATACACCTCCCCTCATGGTGACCAGGAGCCATAGCCACTGTTCATTTTCCTCTTTCAACTCTTTCTCCGTGTGTGACGATCCACTATTTAAAGTAGCCATTTATTGCTTTAGTGTGTTTTCACTTTTGCCAATCTACTACTCCGTATTTCTTTTTTTAAAGTGGTCATTCATGATTCTTTTTAAAGTTTCATGTGTTATTTACTTATTTGCAGGGTTTGATTCCGGACCTAAAGAAGGAAAACATGTTCTTAAATGAATGATTCAAATGTCGGCAATGTGTGATATTGATGGCCCTACTTTGAAAGGGGGGAGTAGTATAGTCTTAGAAGAGACTGCTGACTCGGAGTATTGGTTTTGATACTGATTGGCCTACTTTTATCCATCCAGCAATGGTATGCTGTCTCCCTGAAACTTAGCATTACTTGGGGGACGTAATCATTACTATTAATCATTGTGGAACCTTAGTACGGAGTATTACTTGATGTACTTAATTTAACTACTACTATTAAACCTCGTGGATTAGGCATTAAAATCTGATTGATGTAAATGTATTTCTTTCTTTCATGTCAAATCCAAACAATTGCAATCCGCAAAGTTTGTCTCTTGAGAATCCAATCTTTTCTTTGTTTATATTTATCCAGCGCTGTGCAAGTTTAATTTTCATATTTAATTCTTGAAATAAGAATTGCAAATATTTGTGGAGTTATGAAATGGTAATACTCCGTATTTTTATTTTTAGGTCTGATTTTCTATTTTTGGCGTTCAATTCGAAAGTTAAAATGTCATATTGGATACCAATCATTTTTAGATTGGATCGAACAAGATAAGATCTAGCTTTAAAACTTGTTTGTGGTTTGGTTATGACATACAAACTCTAAATTTCCTTAGAAATTCACTAAATAACAGATAAACCTTTGCAATTGCCTTACAAATGTGCTGCAACTTCATATTGTATAAGTCTAGCTGGGGTATATATGACATTTGTAGTTGTCATTTCTACATTCTTGGTGATGCTTGTCTTCAACGTGTTTGGTTTTGGGTATTGGTGTAGATCAACAACACACTGTTGCATTGTACAATCTTTATTCTCTATAATGATTGGTTGTGACTTCTACATTCTTCAAATTTCTTTTGTATCATGGTTCAACTATAATAGGCTTCATATACAAGGACATAGAAGATGACCAAATGAAGATAATAATGACATCAGATTTTCAAATTTGTGTAGAGGGAGAAATAGGTAAATTTTAGGTACATTTCTTTTAAATTGAAATTTGACTAACAATGATTTACAATTTCAGTTGATGAGAATGTGAAAAAGTGTTACCAAGAAGAAAATATTGTAATTCTAATGGCAGGGAACCTCTTAGAATGCAAGGACACAGTAAAGGCAATACTTACAGAACACGGGGTAGGGTAAATTAACTGCACTTTGATCTCATTTAAGTGTGACTTGATCTTGATCTTGTAGTTGTATACTAATGTAATTTTTTTGAAATAGAGGCTCCTATCAAACAATTTTGGGTTGGTTAATGGATTTTTTGAATACTTGGATTTGCAGGCCCGCCCAATTGCATGTTCATTAGGTTCATTTGCCCAGGGTCTCTAAATTTTGGGGACCCATTTGTTTTTTTATACTCCCTGCGTCCTATTTTATAACGTCTGTTTCGGTTTACGATGCTTGACTGAAACTATTTTCAAATCATTTTATATAACAAATGGTATGGATTTAAAAAATAAAAATTACATATTAAAATACTACATCAAAAAATCTACAAAAGTAGTAGTGACAATAAGATTTTATTTTATCAAATTACTTACGAAAATAGATAAAGAAAGTGAATGAAATTTGATCTTGTAAATAGTGAACAAGCATTATAGTTTGGGACGGATGGAGTAATAGCTTAGTTATACCTATCTCCAAGCCCAATGTCTAAGCCTAACTCAATTACACATGTTTTTTCCCTCTAGGCATCTCGATTCACACCGATCCTCATATTTGCCTCTTCATGCCTTATTCTTCCGTTCCTCCATCCTTTTTTATGGCTTCATCATTGTCCTCAAATCTATAATCAATAAATATCAAGGGATCAAATTTTCATTTTTGGTGAGTTTAAGATTTTAAATTTCTTTATTTTTAATTTATTTGTTTCATATTTTGTCAATTGTTATATTCTAATTAAGCTATCTGTTTTATCGATTTAGACAATTCTAGTTTTTTTTTCTAAACAAACATTTATTTCATATTTTCGACTTGTTCCAAATTTTGTGTAAGATTTATTTTTCCTTAACTTTAAAATATGATTTTGCATCTTCCATTAATTTCTTAATTCAAGTTTAAAAACTTACTTAGACTATGCCACTGCAAAATTTATTTTTTGCATCGTGATTTTTCAGTTCATTTTTGTTAAATTGCTAGTGCTGGCTCATTTTCAAATTTATAAGTTTAATACAATGATTCATGCCTGTTTTATTTCGTTTCCTTTTTAATACGGAGCAAATTGATTCTTTAACAGATTAATTGTTTCTTCTTTTAATCGTAGATTTAATAAACTCATTGAGGACTGGGGTTTTCTAAGATCTATTTTTCTTTTGTCATGTTTTTTAATTTTTTTGATCATCTTTTTTTTATCAACGTGCTAAGTACTTAGTTTTTAACTTGTTTAAAAATAGGTAAAAATTGATTTTGCATCTTCACAGGCTTGCGGTGATCTCTCACTTAGGGATCGTGGGTGATCCTTCATTGGTGCTCTCATTTACCGTGGGAATCTTGGACGAGGAGATTTCGCCACTCAGCGGAAAAATGGGAAGCACGCCACGTTTGTAAAGGTGGCGACTAGTTCATCCACTCCTCCCAAAACGGATGCCGCAAGAACCTATCTTATTCGGTGCGCGAGATGCGTCCATGATTCCTTCGCCCCATAGGCCGACTGCAGACCGAGCAAGCTAAAGAGGTCAAAGAAGAGATACTATTTGGTGATCAACTTAAGATTTAAGAACACCATCAGAATGGGAACAAACCTTGAAAGACACTCAAGGACCAGATCTTACTCGTCGTCGGTGATAACTTTGAAATGTTTGCTTGGTCTGCGGACCAAATGCTGAGGATCGAAAGAATAATCATCACTCACTGCTTCGTGGTCGACCCAACCGTCGCACCCATAAAGCAACACCTGAGCTCTTACAGGCGGGAGTTCGTCAAGAAGGAAGTCAGCATGTTGGATGTTGGACACACGTGGGTGGTCAAGTATCCCACTTGGCTAGCAAATGTGGTCCTGGCCCAAAGGAATAACATATCGCATGTGTGTGGACTATATCGACATAAACAAACCATGCCCGGTGGATCCCTTCACACATTCAAATATTGATCAACTTATTGACGAGACTGTAGGTTTTGAAATCATCTCGTTTATGGATGCCTTCCGAGGCAACCACCAAATTTTGATTCACAATGGGATTTGGACATTGGAGAACGTGTATTGCTACCTCGTTATGGCATTTGGACTCAAGAATCTCTCTACACTAGAATGCTCAGCCGAATCTTTTGCCAGATCTCCAACAAGTTTTCCAGATCATGCTTAAGACCTCTAGTTGGTTTTCCAAATCATGCACAAATATAAACTCCACCCCAATCCCAAGAAATGCACATTTGGGGTTGATGTGGGGAGAATGGTTGGTGATTTGGTGTCTTTTTAGGGAAAAACACGACCCAGATGGTTCTCACGAAAGTAGGGTCTAGGGAGGGTGTGCGTAGGTAGACTTTGCCTCTACCCAATAGTAGAGGAGCTGTTTCCAAGAGACTCCCAGCTCAAGCTGCACAAAAAGAAGACTCACAGCATACGCACGCAACAGGGAGAGCACACATACAACACAACTAAAGCATCCAACACCTAGAAAATAAACTAAAATTACGAAGCAAGAGTTTTTTAGGGAAAAAAAACTAGAAAAAACCAGTGCATGAAGTACTGAATAGTGCCTGGCCCATAGAAACGTCAGTGCATAATAACATCAATGTAAGTGCGTAACCTTACGGTGCTAGTGTTACGTACAATCTAAAGCATACAAGGGTCTTAATCTTTCAAGTGCAGAACTTATTCATATCTATTTTAAGAGGGGGAAACCATTCAGCCCAGATTTTCTGTTCAAAAAACAGTGTACAATATTTGGCTTTCAACTCAACAAAAGTATCCCATTGTAATCAACTGTGTGAACCAGGAATTGGAGACGCACCTCAGCTATTGTCTATAATTTGACCAAGAAATCGGGCAGCCATGGGAGTTTCCCTTCGTGTTTTGCATAGTATACAGCCATTGCCAATAAAACGACGAAAAGAATGATCCATAAGCTGAGTCCTGCAAAGGTGATGAATTGTGTGCATAATTGCATGTTAATCCCAAAAAAACAACTCAATCATATGCTTTTATTTAGGGATTGGTAGTGTCAAAGAAACTACAAACCATTTTTACTGCCATTGTCAGTGATAAGTGTCACCCTTGCACTTGAATCCATCGACACAGAGAGCAAAGCCCTAGAAACCGCACAAAGATCATTTGGTGTGTGTTTATGTACATATACACATTCTGTGTGTGTGTGGGCGTGCGCGTGTGGGTGTTAAGAGTATAACATAACCAACTAAAGAAGTGTGTTGTAATTAGTTATCAGAACCTTGAATCATCAGAAAATGCTAATGCGGTCGTGGGGCCAATATGTGCTTTCTTAATAATCTTAAGCACCCCCATGTTGCCGGCCCTCAAGATACGAACATTGCCTTCACTGGTCCCACTGCAAAGCAAATTAGCATTGCTACGAATAAGTCGATTTGTTCAAACATAAATAACATATGCAGAGAATGTGGTTACGTCTGGCACTAGAAAAAGTGATTGAAATGTGGTATAATCATTTACCAAGTATCATGTCACTTTTTTCAAATTTTATAAATGCCCTACAACCAACTCACCCCCACCCCTCCTAAAATCTTCATCCACAGATCCTAAGACTCACATTGCAAGGAGCTTCCCATCAGCTGAAATATTAAAGGCTGAAATTGGTTCACCAGCAACCAACTTTGATCTCATCCTCTCCCATGAAGAGGTGCTCCACTCCACAATACTTCCTCCTTGAGCTACACATGGAGGAACTTATCTCATTTATCTTTCTAGATTTGTACTGAAAAACTGAGGGAAAACAAAAGTAAAGAAACATCCAAAGCTACATGTTTACCCCGTGTTGCAGTGACATAGATTGTCTGGTTATGGTCACTACTTCGTGAAAACCTACAAAAGCCAAACTTCTCGTCCTGGTTTTAAAAAAACACCTTGTTAGAAGACAACGGCAAAAATAAAATAGAAGGGGAGGATAACAAGGAGTTCAGATACAATGAATAAGAACAATAT